TGGAGAATACATTTCCTGGGTCCAGATTTACCCACCGGGGTGACATAGAAAATGCCTAGTAACTCTTAATATCTAGAGCAGGACTGTCCAACCGTGGCGTCTTTCAGACCTGTGGACTTCGACTCCCAGCATTCCCCAGCCAGCATGGGAATTCTGGGAGTTGAAGTCCAAAAGTCAGAAAGTTGCCAAGGTTGGATGTTCCTGATCTAGAGGGACTGATTTCATAGCCCCTATAGCAGCGGTCTTCAAACTTAGTCTTTTTATGACTTGTGGACTTCAACTCCCAGAATTCCTCATTGGCTGAGGAATTCTGGGAGTTGAAGTCCACAAGTCATAAAAAGGGCCAAGTTTGAAGACCCCTGCCCTATAGCCATCAAGCCAAATCCACGAAGATCCTAATACAAGAATACTGTAGTCCACAAAACCTATTTCCTCTCAGTTTCCTGATTTTGTTCCTCTGCCATGAAGCTTACTAGTGGGAACAGCTGGCTATAAAATACATGCCCCCTCAATTTTCTCAGCAGCAATTAAAATTTGCCTTCATCTGGAAGGGGTTAAGAGGGACGACAATCTTCCTGTAACCTTTTCCCAGGGCTGAGAATTATGTTGAGAGGATCTAACGATGTTTTAACCAAAAGAAAGGCGAGGAGGGGGAAGGTAGGGTGTTGAAATCTGCCATGTTGTGCACGAAGAATATTGGAACTTATGATTAATTCTGGCTTTTTATAGCCATGTGCCTTTCTTAGTCTGTATGCTGCCTGTTGAAAAAATAAGCAAGTTCCTCCTTTTTCTGAGCTGCCATGTCTTGGAAAATATTTGTGTGAGTGTGTGTGTATGTGTCTTTCTCTTGCTTGTTGTTACGATCCTTGAGGACTTTGTGCGTGTCTGCTAAAACATGCAGACTTGGAGGGGGAATCTTTCTTGCAAAATGCTCCTGGTTTGTTTGTTTTTTAATTTTTATTTTTTTTTAATTTTTCTATTTTCAAGACTGACCTTGAAGTTTCTTTCAGAGTTTCAGTAGAGGCCACGTAGTTGTTGATTGATTGATTGATTGATAATTTAATTTGTATACCGCCCTACTCCCGTAGGACTCAGGGCGGTTCACAGCATATTAAAAACAAATAATATACACAAAATACAAAATACAAAAAATAAAATACAGAAATACAAAAAATACAAAAATAAACCCCGATAAAAACCGAATTAAAACCAAATATTACCCGCTGTGATT